TAATAGAACCAAAAAGCTAGGACAAATTTATAAAACTAAAAAATATAACAAATCAAAAAATATATAAAATAATTAAAAATTACATATAAAACTAATCCTTTTTTCCTCCTTTTCAATCAATCCTCTGTGGGTTAGCTTGCACAATGTTATACGGAACCAAACCACCAATTCACCTAGCCAGACCTAGAGCATTTGGTGAAGGCTACCAAAGAAAAAAGGTAAGCATCAACTACAAACTCTTTTATGAAGATAGTTTTAGCAAAATAGCTCATTCACACGTATTCCTAGCAACAACAGAGGGTCTTAGTATGAACTGTCAGATATCATGAAAAGTTACTCAGCATGAATGTTCTTCAGTGTGAGGGTTCAATAAAGTACTTCAGCCCCCAAATAATTCATATAGACCAGAGTACTGCATCAAGTTTTTGCTAGCGGTAGATGAACATGGTCAAAAAGAAATGATTAATTTTTCCTTACAAAGATGACTATACTATGCCAGAAGACAATTTCATTGTTTTATAAGAAACATTTTAGCTGCTTTGAGATTTTGAGGACAACTTAAAACTTTGATGTAATGCAGAAAAAAAAAAGAATCAAAATCCCTTAAGCATTTTGAGTGTTGTGTCTAATTTAGAGGGGAATATTTATCCCAAGTATTCAGGCGCATGATGTGGACAAGGCTCTCTCTATTCCATCAAGGTAAGACAGAAAAACCAGGCGAGGAGAGCACACTGTATATATAGGTCAGGTCTGAACAGCATCTCAGAATTTTAAAGAGGGATGTCACATTTATTAGAATCAGGATTTCCTCTCTCTCAAACTCATGTTCACCGTCCACAATCCACAAGATGAGGGGACAAAACGGTGTCATTTCAAAAAAGCTTGATTTGTAGTATTGTTAAGAAGTTCTAGCTTTTGTATACTGTCACCTGCTCATTCCAATGGAATGCCAGATTTCACTGTGATTTCACCGTGCAGAAACCAAAGTCTGTCCACTGACTATGCTCAGACCTGCAGAGCAGGAGCATTTTGAAACACACACGAATAGGGTTCTCTCACGCGTTACAAGTCCAATCTCACCGTTTTCCATCTGCTACATCACATGATGGGAGCCAAACACACCCACCTACAAACCAAAGCAAAGCGCGTAGGTCTCCATTTGGCACATGCATAGTGTTTTTCATCTTCAAACCTCCTGAACAAAGCAAGGAATCACATTAATCTTCACAGCACCCTTGTGAGATAAATACAGCGTGACTGCTTACCCCGCAGCGTACTTTATCTGAAGATGTTATCTCATAGGACTCTGAATGCAGGAGCTTTCGTGCCTTAGCACAAGACTAACAAGACTTCCTGAATTCATTAATTAGCAGAAATAGTCACGCTAGTCAGTTTTTCTGATGATGCCACAAACAGCCAAGAGGTAATCCCTGAACACAGCCTGTTTTGAAACTGAATGGTGATAACTGAGTGCATTAATCTAGGAGCTGGAAGCAGAAGTAAAAGGGATCAAAATGGATCTGCTTGCAATTTGTTACAACATATTTTTGTTTGGAAACATCGGTCTTTCTGATGTTCTGTTTGCCCCCAAATGCCATGCCTATGGCTAATTTATCCATTAAGAGAAGTCAAGCTGTCCGACCAAAGTCTCGGTCAGCGGGTAGCTTGCTGCTGTGATGTCAAACAGAGCTGAAGCAGTCAGAATCCAGGCCTCAGTCTATCACCTTGGGACACCTATGGATACCTAAAACAGAGTTAAGGACCACTGCTGTCAGGAAAGATGCACAAAAAGATGACCACAATTTATCTGATGAAACTTTTTGTTTGGAAAATAGAGCAACTATCAAGCGGTGCTCTACACTAGGACTGCATATCATTATGTTTAGCCCCATTTAATTTTGATTCCTGACAAATTTAAAACACAAATATAGGCCCTCATCCAGTGAGCATATGCATTGTGGCTTTATTCTTGAGACACAGCCCCACTGCAAATCCATTATCTCCAATTGAGTGGTCTCACTGAAATCAAATTAAGCAAAGCTTATTTAGGACTGTGGCCCAGCACAGTCATTTTCCTAACCATGCGTTTTACTTCACCTTCATTTATTCAAAGGATCTCATTTGTATTAGAAGAACTTCCATTTCATATAGAAGGTCAAAGGATTCACTGATCTGTTATTTCAACGGCAAAGTTCCTCCCAAACTAGTTACACATGAGCAACGTAGAAGAAAATAATAGTCAGTATAAATCAAGTTAGAAGCTCCCCCCTACCCCCTTTTTCTTAACGTTTCCTAGCAGGGCAGCACTGTCCAACAGATTTCCAATGCTTGTTTGCCAATGTTACAAAAATTTTCTGTATCACAGCAAATATATATTAATGTCTACCACTGCAGAATGGGGGAATTTTAATTTACACAGGATGCACAACAGAAGCTCTGTGCACAGAACTACATTTTAATATGTTTTTCAAAATGGACAGTGTCTGATGTTTACCACCTCTTCAGAAAAAGGTGAATTTTGACATCAAATTTGACTCTGCATTATCCCTATGCTCTCTAAACATTTCATCCCTCTGTTACTTACTCCAAAATTACTCCACACCTGGCACCAACCAACATTGTAAAACTACCTTCAACTGGAGTTACTAATTGCGACTGTTTGGTATAAAGAGGGGCCAGAAAAGCACTTATAGCTAATAGTCTGTGATAACAATACAAACAGTAAAATGTCTACTGCATGGGTAGAGATTACAGTAGCACAGGTTTTCATTTCCTGTTTTTATTGGTTGGCTGCAGACTATATGCATGCAGCAATCTTTGGATTACGTGATTCTGTGGACAGGGAAAATACCGCAGAGCACTGCATGTTAAGATACCTTTAAGTACCACTGATCTTACAAAAACGCATTCTGAGTAACTCCTTGCTGATCAAAATTTGCCAGTTACGTAACATTTCCCATACCAAACACGAAAATTCTGTGCTGAGAAACAGAGGGGAGGCATGGTGTGGAAGACAAGACAGTTTAAGAAGTCACAAAGCATAACTGATAAGGAAGGCGAAAAATGAAGAGATGAAGAAAGTCGCAGTTCCAACCCATCCATTACATTCAAAGCAGTAGACTGCAATTTCAACCATGATGTTTCAGTTCTGGTAAAGAAATGTAATGGGCAGCAAATTGTTCAGCATAGCATGTTTTCGTCTCATTTCTGACCATGAAAACAGCATGCACTTATTATATCACATAAAGCTCATTATAAGATCAGGGTCTTTGTTTTCATAAAATGACTGTGGAGTCACAAACTTCTCCCGACAGGTAGCTAGGTTTCTGGGCAAAGAGAGGACAGGAGAAACAGCCCAGAGAACTTCCCCCATCGATGAGAAAATGTGCTGTAAGAAATGTATTTACAATAATAATGCAAAAATAGTCATAACTTTATTTTATTTTCCTTTGATGCATTTCTCAAAGCAATTCTAAACTGCTCTTTAGAAAGGCTGCCCCTACTACTCCAGAGCATACCCCCTGTAAACTACAGACACACTCCCAAAATAAAAACCCAAGAAGTGCACTAACAGACTATTAATGTATAACCTAAAGTATATATTATCCTTGGGGGAGACCTATAAAGGACCACATCTGAGAACACATCTTTCTTTCTTTCCACGTTACCTAGCACAAATATATAACTTCCTTACAAAAAACTCTCCTATCTAGATTATTAAATGGCTTTCCAGGCACTTACCAAGGTAAGGTTTGCCAAAACTTAGTCTAAATTTAGAAGCAGTAATTATATTAAATTCTGAAGGTATTTTAGAAACTAGAGTCAGAATTATTTGTTTTGAGAGCTGGAGGAGAAAGGAGAACAACATCCATGAGATGGCAATTCTCCTTCCTATTAATCTCAGTAATACCCAATGTATTGTTGTTTTTTAATTATTATTTTAATTGCGTATTTTTCAGCTCCGGTTTCAGTAGTCACAACACACAAACCTATATCTGGTCATAAATTTTTATTAGAACTCTGTTGAAAATAATAGCATTTCAAATAAATGATGCTAAATAATGACCAAGTTAAATGATTCTATGCTAAGCCATGACTTCTTGGCCTGAAGGAGTAATTATATTGTCTCTGAAAGCTTTGCCAAAAACCAAATAGAAAAAATACCCCTGCCCAGAAAACTAAACCCTAAAATGTTATTCAAATAGCAAAGCTACATGACAACTCCCAGAGAAGAATGGTGAGTAAAACTTCTTACCTATTAAAGGAATGCAATATCCTCATTTTAAACAGCCTAAGCCTAAGACTTTCACGACTAACAATTACAGTAACAATATCTGTTCTTCTGGATTCTCCCCTTTTCCCTTCTCACACACTTTCTTTTTGGTGCCATTTTTCACTGGAAATCAAGATAACATCAGGACGTGACAGCCAGCTCTCTGCAACAGGGACACGCTGTGTGGATCTCCAGCAAAAAAAAAAAAAAGCGAGCAGGCAAAAAGATTTTCAGGGGAACCATAAAACGCAATTACCATTGTTCTTATCGTTTATAACCCATAGAGCCCAAATGACCTGGGAGAATACCTAATGGAAAACAGTACTCACAACAATAAATTAACAATTATGGGATGCAGACAATGCACTCCCAAGCTGCTTTTGAAGTATAAGAAGTCCTGTCATGCACCCATTTTAGGATGCAACAGAAGAAGGATAAACAACAAGGAGAATAATCTCAAGTCTCCGTACACTGACCAATTTCAGTCCTGGGTGAACGTAAAAGCAACAGCCATATATTCTGATTAACGATAGTTCAGATATTTCAGGATGTAACTTGTTTAAAAGAAAGCACCAGAAGCCACAACGTAAAGACTGATTGTTCAGTAGAGAGAAATGTTTGCTTTTTACCAGATTTCTTAGTCAGTATTTTCACATTTTGCAAAACGTGAACATATTTTTATACTTTCATTGTAAATAAATAAATAATATCAACTGAAAAATCTTACCTGCTTCCTCTTTTCAGGGGGAAGAGATGGGTCCCCATCCTACAAATAAACAGATATATTTTATCAGCGACTTATTTCTGAAGCTAGCAACTATATCAACTTTGTGGATCAAATTTTACAGCATGTGTCTTAACTACAATATTTTCAAAATTGTTTCTAAAATACTGCCTCTTGATTCATACGGGTAGTATTAATTTCTGCTCAAAAAATGTTCTAAGACTCAAGATGTGTTTACATTTCTAGAACAGCAGGCTATTACAAAATTTATGTTGCATTGTTTTCCATAACAGTACATTAAGTTGCTGTGGAATAATAATACTTCAGTCTGTTTTTAAATGGAATTATAACTGAAACTAATTTTCTCAGAGTAGGAACTGTCTTTTTGTGTCTTATGTAACAGCCATGGTCTCCTCAACACATAACAAATGAGTAATAGTACCTCCAGGACTGTACAATTGCAGGACTACTGTAAGCAACACCTAAACATTTTTACAGCACTCATTATGGATTTCTTTCAAAATTCAGGTCCATTCTTGTCCCCAAATTATACAATATTCATAAAGAACAACCTACAATCAGCTCCCGGTATTTCTTTTTCAGAGACTGGTGTCGTTCCCGCAGCTGGTTGGCCATAAGCTTGTATTGGTCTCTTTCCTGTTGACAAGTGTCCAGCTCTTTGGAAAGGATTAGCAATGCCTCTTTTTTACTTTCCAGCTTCCGCTTACACACCAGATACTGCAGAGGAGGAAAAAAAAAAACCCATAACCGTAACAAATCATTTCTACCCCAACCACAACTGGACTGCACAGACTCCGTTTATTTTCTCAAAGAGCATTCTCTGCACAGGATCAACATCTGACACAAGTCGTCCTAGTACACTATGAACAACCACTGAAAAGATTGTTGTATCAGAATCTGGAAATCAATCTGTAAGGCCGCGTACTCTCCTGATTACCATGTTAGAAAATTCAGCAATTTAGGTTTTCTTCTCCTTTGCCTCACATGCAATACTAAGGGAAATATCACAATTTAACCTGCAACTCTGGGAAGGCTGCTGGAAGGAAAAGGCTTTCGTAAACTCCCTTTGCTACTTACCTCCACGATGCACAGTTCTCAGTTAGCAACCAGAAAGCCAATGTTTTCCATTTCATTCTCCTCTCCCTCCCCCTCTTTCCCACTACCAGCAATGTCCTCTGTGCTCAGCGTTCCTCCTGGACAGTGAACGAGAGCCACGCTATGGAAGAAAGGGTAGCATGAGTAGCCACCAAAACTTACCTAGAGTCTGAAACCATTACAGTGAGATATGTTACAGGCACAGAAAAAAAAAAACAATTCAGTTCCTTGGCGCACTAGAATATTATTTGCTTAGTAAATCAAAAGAATGGGAAATAATGGAGGAATATCGCAAGCATCTGACCGGAGAGAGACAGAAGTGAGCTTTTCCCTTCCATGCTCCAGTCACCACCGCTTAGCTTAGGGCTCATACGCAAAGGGAAGCAGAATCTGCAAATCTTTGCTGTCCTGCACTAGTCTGATCTACTTCATTGCCTTTCTCTGTGGAAAGGAAGAGAGTAATGCGTACATCATGCTTTCCTGCAGTGGCTAAATTTCACCTATCAGAAGTTTCAAGCAACTTTTTTCATTTAACGTGATGTTCAATCAGCAGATTCTTCTCACCCATCACTTGACACTACTCATGCTAAAGTATATATTTCTATTTCTGATGTTACTCACATGAGATGTGGCACTAAATACTTTCTGAATTTGCTCTGCAAGAGACCAAATATCACAGCACTCATGAAAACAATTTATAGTTTCATTATATACTCTGACAAGAATACTTTGTCACTATGGGCTCTTGTACAAAGCAAGAGCATCAGCACTTCCATACTGTTCAAGTCAGTGCTGTTCTTTGGGACAAAAATCATTACTCATATATACTACTTGCTTGGAATTGACTTTGTTAACCTCAATTTCAAGTAAATAAGAAAGGGAGAAGGGAGTCTGGTATATTAGTACAGCCAACATTTTCCAAAAATTGTAAATGCTTAGTTGCAAAAAAGCAACTAAGCAGGAAGGGAATGAGAAAAGCAATTCCAAGAAGGATCTGAACTCTCAGAAAGGACACTTCCACCTTGGATTAATTTTATTTCTGGCAATACTGAAGTTGAAATCCTGCCATAAATTTTCTGGATTATGATACCTTGGCATCAGCTTTACAAAGGCAACTGCAGCTACGTGCTTGTCTCCTTACTGCTACCTTACACAAATGTCAAGTCCCCTGATAAAACACTGAAAGGCACTGGAAACTAAACTTTAATATTGTCAGCAAGTGATTACAGTGACACAGTAAGCAATCTTAAACTTGAAAAAAAAAAATCATTCTTTCACTTACTGTGAAATATTTGTCCTGACAAACTCCTTTCTTTTTGCCAGCTTCATCTCATGTCTTAGCCAATTTTACAATATGCCTTCACTAAAATGTTTCTAAATACTAACAATCTGACACAGTAATTGCAGACAAAACTAAGTAAAAGCAAAGAGCCAAATCACCTCAAAAAAAAAAAAAAAAAGGACAAAACCCCCAGAAACAAAAAATTTGCCTTGTTCCTTTAATCAACAAGAAGCCTGAAACCAGCACATGCAGCCAAGGCCTACGCGGCCTGCAGAACAGGTTATATACAATGTACACAGTGGGAGGGGAGCAAAGCCAAACACCTCACCTTCGGATATGTACACCAGGAGCACATACCTCTAAGCAATGCCACGAAGGGTGGGGTGGCCTAGAAAAGCCAGAAGAGCTAACTGGCCTCTATGACAACAAACTACAAAAAATAATGCTTATCTGGTGGAAAACACAGATCCAGTGCTAAACAAAACTTGGTGCTGACATAAACTCCAGGCCTCCTCAAAGCACACATTGCTAGCCTAAAAGGCGGCTTCACCTTTAATGGTGGCGTTGGTGGGGGTAAGGGAATTGTGCTTTATCTATGAGGATGACAGTTACTGAGCCCTAAACAGATTGTAGGGACAATTGCGTTCAGAGTCTAAATGAAAAGGAATAATGATCTCTTCCTTGTGTAAACTATATTTTAACTTGATGAATTACCTACTGATGGAGTACCATATGGAAGAAAGCGGCTATGCATCTCTCATCAGTTTACTGTCTGGATTTTACTAGAAAAAGGAGCATCCAGCAGACTTTTTGAAACTGATTTTGTCTTTTGTATGTATTAACTTTCTCCCCTAAATAGGACAAAAATAGTAATTACGTATAGTAATTTGTTTCCATGTGTTTATCGTACAAGAAACAATAAATCCACAGCATTCCTGTGGAATCTGATTATTCAGCAAAAATATGCTTCCAATTCCAATTACTAGTTTCTTTCAGAAAAAAAAACAAATTATACCAAGATGGACCTCAAAGAGGTTGTTCAATGCCTATGCTTTTGAATGTTAAAAAAAGGTATTAATAATGGCCATAAAGTGACATAATAGCTGAATACCAGGAGAGGATTCTATTTAGGGAAATAATTGAGTCCCACCAACAATTTCCTATATATGAACAAACAAGCCCAGCAAAATTGGCATGCTGTCAACAGGAACACAGGAGCATGATAGTCTTTTTGGAACAATGTAAGCAATATGGAAAATTTTCAAATAGTCTCAGAAAAAGCATGCAGTAGATGCTTCTGGCACTCCTATAGAGATTTCTTCCTGTGTATTTGAAGGAAAAATACTGTCTCGTGTACTGACTGATCAGCAGAACAAACAAGTGATTTCTGTAACGTGTTACAGTTACAACAACATATTGTTATTTCTTTCTTCTTAATGGATGTTGAAGAAGAATCCTTAGATTTAAAAAACAGTTAAACACAAACCAGCTACTATACTTTCAATCTAAAAGCTACCTCATGCAACCTTTCCTATCTGTCTAGTGACTTTTATCTACCAATTCACTGTTATCTGTAATAAAGCAAATTATAATTGCTACAAGGAAGATCATAATAATTAAAGGAATATATATGACACCCTACATCACTGCCTGAACTGCTTTACAGCCAGATAACTTCTTCAGTGAAACTGAGTAAAAAGTGACTGATGTTACAGAAGAGTGGAATTGCTCCAAGGTGACCCTCTACATCAAACACTTACTATTTGTCCATTGCTATTTTTAGTGACAAATCTAGACAGATCTCATTAATGATGACATAGACATGGTCTAATAATCCGATGAAGCTGGGACTCTGTCAACGTTTTAGATTTTTTTTTAAACAAACACACTAAATTCATATCACAAAATAGTTTATTTTAAATTTGTATAAATTACTGGCCTATACTTGGCTATTTTATGTGAATTAGCATCAAGAAGGAAAACATCTAATTTCCTGGGAGTAAAAGTACAGATATTACCTCCAGGTTCTGCTTTGGAATTGCTGTAGATCATATTCTGTGTGTTCTCAGTTCTCCAGATCTAGTGATCCTCAACTGCTGATATGAATTCATGGGTACACAGGCCTGAAAACCTGACACACACCAAGCGCTCAGAGAAACAATCACCTGTAATCACAGTCTTTTGGACAAGAGCTACAACTATTATTTAACTGCCTGAAGTGTTACCAAATTGCTCTTCACCACACTCTTGAAGGTAATTTTGTTGTGAAAATAACAAATCTAATGAAGTGTGTCAAAATGCATTGCAATGTCACTCTTTGGGGTGTTTGTTTACCACATTATAGAAACGTTGCTCCCCTTAACTTCAGATTAAACTAGTCAACATACCTGGAAAAGTCAATCCCTCAAACCCAGAGAAATACACAACTACCAGCCATTTGCCTGCCATCCCATCTCATCATGCCCTCATCTGAAATAAAACCACAGACAATGTAGTTTCTTTGCTTTTAGCCCCTAGTACCAACTCTGCTTTTCCTACTTTCCTACACTTCCCTCACTAACCCACTCCTAACTGCTGTAGCATGAAGCAGGCTGCTATCATTCACTGATGGACAGAAATATAAGCAGCTCCCCAGAACACCATGTCTTGTGTTGGTGATGTTATCACACCATGTCTTCACTGATCATTTGAGAATTAGCATCAAGTCATCTGATTTGATTATTCAAAATAACACTGTTTTGTGATACTCTTAAACATTTTGTACTCTACGCATCAGATTACATCATTAACTTCTCCGTGTCTGTTCCTCAACAACCCCATGGGTGTCTTACTCCAACCTAGACACACGTATAGCAAACAGTTGTTTGGCTCCCTGAAAGGCCAGCGCAGCTCTCCATGGCACCTCTCTCACCATTCCTGAGAACCACGTCACACTGTCAGCTCTTTTACCATTTCCACTCCCTTTTCCCAATGACAAAGCCATTACAACACTAACCTGACCACCTTGGGACCTCAGAGTATCTCTTCCGCTCTTTTCTAGCCTAGAGCCACTGGCATTTGCCCACATTTGGAAAAGCACCAAAACTAGTGGTTCCAAAGCCTACACGGTATCTTCACATAGGTTTGGTTAAGTACCTCCCATTTTCTGTTTGAAAAGGCAATGTGATAGAAAATGAAACAGATGTTATAAACATGAATATCTCACTGATTTTCCTTCCTTTTCTCTCTAGTCCTCATAAAAGAAAAAAATCAGGCAACCAATGGAAAAATTATGGTTTGCCAGTTACAAGCAGGTTAGGTTTCTCACTCTTATGCAGAATTCACGTCTGGAATATTTAGA